TACGAGAGGCCTCTTTTCTCTCCCAGGTTTGCAGGCAACATGGAGAGGCAGCAGACGGACAACCTCCTGAAGCTGCACGTCAGCGGGACGTACCTGATCCGGGAGAGGCCGGCGGAGGCCGAGCGGTTTGCCATCAGCATCAAGTACGTCCAGGGAGGGGGGCAGGCGTAGGGCTGGCCCTTTGGCCCGGCAATTGGTAGCCTCAGCGTTTGTGTCCCTGGAGGGAGGGTGGAGCCGGCTGGCCTTTTGGGATGGTGGGGGGGGGCACAATGGCCACGACGGCTCCCTGGACCCCCACGCGCTCTGCGTCTCTCCCACAGGTTCAACGACGAAGTGAAGCACATTAAGGTTATCGAGAAGGACAACTGGATCTACATCACGGAAGCCAAAAAGTTCGAGAGCCTCTTGGTAAGGGCGGCCGTTCCGGGGGGGACGAGGCGGGGCCCGCCTTCCGAGGCAGCCGGGAGGAGGGCCCCGCTCCGTGGAGCCCCCGCTGAGAGGGTCACACCGGCCTGGATCCGTCCCCTGCAGGAACTGGTGGAGTACTACCAGACACATTCCTTGAAGGAGAGCTTCAAGCAGCTGGACACCCCCCTGAAGTACCCCTACAAGTCCCGGGAACGCTCCACCTCCAGGACCTCGACGCGCTCGCCAGGTGAGGGAAAGGGGTCCGGTGGGGCCAGTCCTGCGAGGAGGCCCACGGGTGTGTGTGTGTGTGTCTCTTTGGCCCCGAGCAGCCTGGGGCACGGGAGGTGGGAGGGGCAGGATGAGACCCCAGACCCTCGGGGTGGGGTGGGGAAGAAAGGCAGGAGAGGCCATCCTCTATGCTCCTCTGCAACTTCCAAGGCTTCACTCTGCTCTACCCCCCCCCAATAAAAATCTTCCCATGGATCAGAGGCTCAGGGACATGCACCCCTTCCCCCAGGCAGGAGGCAGCCCCAGGCCAGGCCATGGAGCAGAATGCCTGGGGGGGTGTGGTGGTGGGGGGAGTTATTTGGAATGTGATGCGGGTGCCAGCCTTTTAAAGAGGGGTGCAAGCAGGCAAGAGAGCCGTGGCCAAGCTGGTTGTGGCGCTCAGGACGTGGCTGGGCTGGGAGGGCGCCCGGAGGAGCCTGGTGGGCCGCTGGGGTCCCTGGGGAGGCTCGGGTGGACCTCCCACAAGACCCGCCACGTCTTCCCAGAGAACGTGGCCTGCACTCAGCAAAGCTTCCGAAGACTCAGCGGGAGCAACGTTCTCGTGGCAGCTCAGAGCCTGTCGGGATGGGGGGAGAGCCGTGAGGCGGTGGGAGGAGGGGCTCTGGGTAGGGTCAGGTGGAGCCCACTGGCATCCTCTCTCTGCCACTGGGTCCTGGAGATGAAGGGAGGGGGTGGTGCGCACACACACCCACACACACATACACAACTCGGCCCCCTCCGTCCCTGGGAAGCGAGGGGGTGGTCCTCCTTTCTGCTCTACGGTCCTGCTGGCTGGAGGGGCAAGAGTTCACCAGTTTATCAGGTGAGCAGGGATAATTAGTAGCGTATCAGACAAAACAAAACACCTGAGGCAAAAATGTTGTGGCACCTTAAAAACTAACAGCTATACTGTATTTCAATGTGAGTTTTCATGAATCAAGTCCACTTCCTCAGACATAAAAGTGAGATTATTTCACTTTCATATTTCCAAATGTCCCCATGACCAGATGGGATACAGATAGACAATGGTTTGTTAATACCGAAATAGATTAGTTTTTTCCTTTCTCAGTCCTCAGGGCCACAACTTCGCTTCTCCGAGCTCCTCCAGCCCTTTCTGGTCAGGTATCTGTGTGTGCGTGTGCGCGTGCACCTGCGTGTAGAGAGAGGCTGAGAGAGAGAGAGAGAGAGAGAGAGAGAGAGAGAGAGAGGCGTCGCGAGAGGAAGCCTCCATTCTTTGAGAAAACAAAGCAAGAAACAGGGGTCTTTCCCTGGGTTCCTTCTCTGGTGGCTGGTGGCTGTCCACGGACTAACCACGGGTGAAAGCAGTGGACATGGGTGAGGGGCTGGCTCCCCACAAATACACACACACAGAGAGAGACAGCATTCTTGGGGAAACCATCCAAATAAAGACACAGGTCTTCCACGTGAGGTGTTTATAGCACCTCTCCTGTGGATCGTAGCACAAATCGAGAAACAACTGGATTTTTAAAAAAATTAACTCAGAAAATCCCGCTGTGCTCTTTAGAGGGTGAGGGGCCCATTCTGCCATGTTTTGGCAGTGGCCCACAATGGCTGGGGGGGGGGCTGCCCCTCCTCCCAAGTTTCTGGGATGGGCAAAGGTAGCCACGGGATCTCTAGAGATAGTCCACCCTCATCGCTAAAGAGAAACCCAGGTGGCTTTTCTGAAGGATCCTCCCCACCTCCCCACTGTAGTGAAACCTTTCTAAGGCATAATCCTGACTCCCCCCCCACACACACACACACATCTGGTAGATGCAAAATAATTCATGTCCGGCCATAGCAGAAAATCCAGAACCAACTCTGTGCCGGACAAGAGAAATCTGAAGCTCGCCTTCCCCTGGCGCCGTGCCCGAAAGGCTTCCTGGGTAGACGTGCAGAGTTCCCCTCTCCCTTTCAGCCCAACGAAGGGACTGTGTGTGGAAGACGAGGCAGCTTCTGGACAGGCTTTCTCACAGGATGGAGGAGGGGACCCCCCCGAGGGCTCTCTGTGTATCTGTGCGTGCGTGTCCGTCCATCCATCCTGTCCCCCCTCGTTCCGCCAGCTGCCCCATGGCGCTTGCCTGCCTGCCTGCCTGCCTGCCTGCCTGCCGGCTGTTCCAGTGGGGCTTTATGCCAGGGAGCCTCCTGGTGCCCTTTCACCCCCTTCCTGTGTCCTGCGCGCCATGCTCGTGCCTGTGCTCTGTTTATTTATCGTGAGCCATCATCACGCCTCCCGTCCCTCCGCCTCTTCCTGCACATCTTGCCTGGGGCTCCACCCAGTTCAACCTAAGTTTTAAAAACACCAGAACGTGGCCGATCCACCCACGAACCGGGCAACTGGGCGAGGAGGCAACGCGAGAAATACAAGTGCCTTTTTTTTTCCATCTGGGAAGTTGGGAGGGGCTCCTCAGAACAGCCCTTCGCTCCCACCGAGGGGGCTGCTCCCTGGTGGCGGCTTGCGCTGCAATTTGCTGCTTCTGGACCGAGATGGCTTTTCCCTTCTTTGGCCTGTGAGTTCAGCCTCTCACATTTCCAGATCAGGATCAGACCATCCTGCTGGCAGCCCACGATTCGGTCCATGCAGGGACCCATCCTGCTTGGGGCAAAAGCCCCAGCCCCCAACGAGAGAGTTCGGGTTGAACTCGGTACGGCAGCCCGGCTGGAGCGCCCGAGGACGGCTTCCTGACCCTAACCCTGCTTTTGTTTTCCTCTTGCCTCCCCGACCCCTCCCTGCCCTTCCCCACCCCTCCCTGCCCCTAGTTTTCACCCCTCGGGTCATTGGGACGGCGGTGGCCCGGTACAACTTTGCTGCGCGGGACATGCGGGAGCTCTCCCTGCGAGAAGGAGACGTGGTGAAGATCTACAGCCGGATCGGGGGCGACCAGGGCTGGTGGAAGGGAGAGACCAATGGCAGGGTGAGTCCGGCCCCAGGCTTAGCCCCGCTGGGGAGGAGGAGGAGAAGTCGTGGGAGGGGGCGTTCTCTGAGCCCGGGAGGGGCCCGATCCTGGCCTCCGTGAAGAACTGGAAAGGTATTCCAGCAAAGCTGACGGAGGGAGGACGAGAAGTCTTGTGCCCGGCGCCCGTGACGTGGCATGAGCTTTCGTGGTGGATCGCCTCCTTTGTCGGAGGCCCCTTGCCCACCTCCTGCCCCTTTCTCTCCTTCCTGCTGCAGATTGGCTGGTTCCCTTCGACCTACGTGGAGGAAGAGGGGGTGCAGTGACCGCCCTCCGCCTTGAGGGTGCCGCCATCGGCCGACGCCAGGAAGAGAGGCCTCTGTGGGCGGCAAGTGCCCGCTCTGGAAGGGGCTCCACGTGGAAAGGGACTGACCAACCAGAGACCCGAAACCCCTTCACCCTTGTGGACCTGTTTCTCTGTCTGCAGAAGGACTGGAGGGGGAGAGTGAGCCCCCCAGCCCAGCCCCCCCCAATCCGGTGCGGAGCCTGGGTACGCCTTGGGTCTTCTGTGGGCCGGAGGGCTGCGGTGGGCTCGGCCCAGGCTCTTGGCTGGCTGGCCTTGGACAGAGCGATCCACGCCGGCGTTCAGGGAACTTTTCAAGAGGTTGGCCAGAAGGGGAGGTCTAGCGACTGCTCTGCTTACGGATCGCGCCTGGGCTGCGCCAAAATGGACCCACATGCAGGAGGGGGGCGAGAAGGGAGGTGGGGCAGGGGGAGCCTCCTGGCAAAGGGGCCGGGTTGGATTTGTGCAAGGTGTCACGTACCCTTTGAGGGTGAGATCCTGGTGCTGTTAACAATCTGACTAAGAACCTCTCATGCAGCTTTGACGGCAGTGCCGCGGGGCGGTTCGCGCCGGTGACTCAGGGGCCGACCCCACTGCCCAGGGGAGTGTCACACCCCAGAGAGAGGGGCTCGGACTCCTCTCAGGCCTCCCCAGGCCCTGGGGCTCAGAGGCCCATCGTGGCAGCTCTGCCCCAGGCCGGAGTTTTGGTGCAAGAAGCAGCCAGGGCGGGCGCGCCTCGGAGGGCCCAAGGCACGTGTCGGCTGCCATAGGAGCTGTGGGGTGTGCGAAGGGACCGCCACCCCCACCTGCCCCCAGCTTCTGCCCTCAGCCCTGTTTCGGCAGCCCTTTTGCGCGGGCGGAGAGCCGAGGGGAGCTGCCCTTGGACCCCCTGGCGCCCAGAAGCCCCCTCCTGAGTGGCACCGCCTTTGCCTCCCCCTTGCTGGGTCAAGGAGTCCAGAGTGCACCTTTTTTTCCTCGGGGGGGGGCCTCCCGCTTCCTTTGGTGGGTCCCCACAGCCTCTGTGGGAACGCCCGCACCTTGCACAGCTTTTTTTTGGCTTTGATGCTTCTCCTTTTCCCTGCATTCCCAGAAGGTGTTTATTTCCCCTCTCCTCCATTGGCCACTTTCCTTGCAAAAGTGTGTGTGTGTGGGGGGGAGGGTGTTCATTTTTCATGGGGTGCGACTTGTCGGTGGGATGCGTGGCTGTATTTTTACACTCCTGCGTGTACACGGTGTGAAGAGGGCCATTTCCTCGGCCCTGCTGAAGCCCTTTTCTCAAGCAGCCTTGGAGGGCCATCCGCCTTGGCTCTTCCCCACGAGAGCCCCCAGCCCCCACCAGGCATCGAACACCAACGTCTGCAGCCTCCAGCCTCGCAAGTATAGCCTTCCATGCCCCTGGTGAGGTGCTTTCCTCAACAGGCCCAGCCCTCCTGGATTGGCGAGCAGGGCGGCCTCCCGGCAGAAGGAACCGCCGTGGCGGCTCACGTTTCCTTTCCCCCACGGCCACTGGTCACCCTCCCACAGGCTGTGGCCAGGGTTTGGCCACCTTCAGAGGAAGACTCCCACCCTGGGTGCTGTGTGGTCCACATCCAGCTGCTTTCATTGCCTGCAAGGGTGGGGGGGGGTTTGCACCCCTAGAGGATCCCCCACCGCAGCTTGGAGGCAAGATGGGTTTTCAGGAGCCGAAAAGGAGGACCGGGAAGCCCCAGGACAGTCCTTGACCCTCATCTTGGGTCAGGCTCGCTCTTTCTGGCCTTTCCTCCACCCCACCCCCCTTTTCCTATGGGATGCGTGCATGAGTTAAACAGACTCTTTGCTAAGAAAGAAAGAAAGAAAGAAAGAAAGAAAGAAAGAAAGAAAGAAAGAAAGAAAGAAAGAAAGAAAGAAAGAAAGATTCAAAGGGGGGACCTGCAATGCATCAGAACAGAACCAAAGCCTTACTTCTGAGTCAACCCAGGCGGCGTGAAGTTGCAAACCCTTCCTTTTTTGCTACCTGACAGGGACTTGCTTGAGTTTTTCCCGCCATTGATTTCAAACATGGTTTTTGGGCTTCCCAGTCAGTTTCCAGGCACAAGAACGACCAAAAAAGAGGGGAGGAGACAGGGCTTCCCCCAACACAGCTGTCCTCCCAGCACGCGGAACCTTGCCCTCGGTTTCCCTGTCCACTCTGGCGGAAAAGGGGTGCAGCTGCTCACCCTCCCTTCTGCCCCTGGGTGGAGAGTTTTTTCTTCTTCTTGATTTGCTTTTGTCAGATTTCAAAATACAGTAAATAAAAGCAGGACACAGATGGATTTCACCTACTTGAGTTCATGCACCTGTCTATCATCTTCTGTGACACGCGTCACGGCAATTGCACAATTTAAAAAAACCACCTCAGGAAGCACCCGGATTTACTGCCCAGGACAAAGGCCGAAGGCGGAGACAGTCCGGAAGAGCTCCTTGCATCCAGGCGTTTGCTCATTTGGAGGCAGCTGGGCAGTGTCTCAGTGCCCTCTTGTCCCTCCTCGGGGGGAAA